TCTTGTTCAATTCCTATACTACCTCTAACGGCACCTACGGTGTTTTACGAGGAAGTGACGAGCACCGCCAACACTATTTTATCACATTTTTATTAATGAACTTAATTATATAAGGTACGTGATGGTAATATGGTCAACTTAAGCTTTGCCGCTCCATAAAACCAAAACTAGGATAAGGCCGGCGACAAAAACTCAAGTCTATCTAATGTTAAGAAACTACTTCAGCAGCACTTTGAAAATACACTCAAAAAAGCTAACTACTCTGCACCATACTAAAATCAACTAAAATAATTACTATAATATCTAACTGTCAAAATGGCGTCGATAAAGCATCGCCCTTTTGACACTTTATTATTTGATTGACGGATAAAGAGCTATCGTGCCACAAAGCCATCTAAGCAAACAAGGCTTTTTGATTTATAAGAAAGTGACCATATTAACCGGTAGACCATATTACCTACACATTCTAGATATCAAATAAAGAAATTGTTACGGTTATTGCCAATATCTTAAACTTGTTACGATAACAAATTTTTTTTGGCAATGTAGGATCAGTGAATAGGTAAAGACATCAAAGAGTCCTATTGACCGGTGGTGTGGAAATGACTTGGTCAGCGTTTGAGCTTTGCTTTATAATGACGACCCACAATTGGCATCTTTACACGAATGTCACGCGCGTTCACCGCATCAATAGATTCGCTGTGGAATATGAAACAAATAAAAAATACATGCTCTACTGCAATTCGTAATTATTTCAATAAATTGCAATAAGAGTGAAAAAGTGTTGAGGAGTTGTAGTAATGGAATAAGTTATCGTTTTACATTATTCTTGTAAAATATTCAGATTATTTTAACAATCATGAAACTCCTTCAATAAATATTATTTAAGAAATCATCAAAGCTGATGTTTGGAGTCTTAACAGAAATAGAATTAGAAAGATATTTTTTTTTTAAATTAAATGTAGATTATGAATTATAAGGTTTGAGATATCTTTCCTACTTCATGAGAAAGTTTAAAACACATACAAACAAATAATAGTTTTATCCTAGGCGTTCATTTGTAATTATACATTTTTTAGCAATTTTTGTTTCTAGAACAAATAAAATATTATTAAACTTTACTTACTTTTAAAGACTTACGTAGCCAAGGCGCAAACAATGCTTGGACGCGCACCTTAGACAGACCGAACGTAGCTAGAAGCGACGCGTAAAATAGTGAAATCAAGGTACGCTCAGGTTAGAAGTTAAATAATATTTTAAGTGCTTTCTAAATGTTGGGATTGATTTTGCTTCTTTGATATTTTTCGGTAATTGGTTATACAATTTCGCACCTTCGTACATTAAGTTTTTTTTACCATAATTAGTTCTGGGGGTTAAGAGGCAAAGGTCGTTTGCACGTCTTAGTCCAATTTTTTGTATTTGCTGTTTCTTTGTGAATGTTATTTGAGTATATATATCTTTATTGTATAAATATCACAACAAGAGAAATCGGAAAGATTTTTATAGAAGGCACAATGCGGATTTAGACCCGGAAGAGGATGCACGGATCAAATTTTTTCTCTCCGCATGATCACGGAGAAGCTTCTGAGTGTTAACCAGAAGATTTTCTGTGCTTTTGTGGATCTGGAGAAAGCATTTGATAAGGTTATAAGGAAGAAAATGTGGGAACTGTTGCCGGAATATGGTGTGGATGGTCGATTGTTAAGGGCTGTGCAGTCACTTTACTATGACTGTAAAGCCTGTGTGCGGGTAGAGCATGACCTGTCACCCATGTTTATCGTCCAAGCGGGCGTAAAACGGGGTTGTGTCATGTCTTCCTGGCTGTTCATACTGTATCTCGACAGCTGTTTACAGAAGCTGAAAAATAGCTGTTTGGGTGTGAAATTGGGTGACATTAAAGTTAGTTGTTTGCTGTATGCTGATGATGCAGTGCTTATTGCACCATCAGAAGCAGAATTGCAGGCATTAGTCACGTGTATGAAAGAGGAATGTGAAATTAAAGGTCTCCGTTTGAATGCTAATAAAACTAAGGTTCTGGTATTTGAAAAGGACGAAGAGAGAACGAAATGTGAAATATGGGTAAATCAGGAATGTCTAGAACAGGTAAATGAAATTGTATACTTGGGGAGTGCTTTCAGCCGGGATGGAAGATGTGATTTAGATGTGGACAGGCGTGTCGCTGCCGGGAACAAAGTCATTGGTGCCCTGAATGCGTTAGTCAAAAGGCAAGGCGTGGTGAAGAGTGCACGCCTTGCAATACATAACGCAGTGTTGGTGCCGACTTTGTTATATGGCAGCGAAACCTGGGTATGCCAGAAGAAGCATAAAAGCAAGTTGAATGCAGTGGAGATGCGATCTCTTCGTAAAATGTGCGGCGTTAGCATAGCCGACCGAAAGCGAAACGAAGAGATTCGCAATATGGCAGGATTGAAAGATGACCTTATTACAAAAATTGATAGGGGCGTACTCTGATGGTTTGGGCACGTTGAGCGAATGAGTGAAGACCGAATGGTGAAGAAAATATATAGCGCGAAAGTAAATATTAAAAGGTGTCGAGGTAGACCGAGACTAACTTTCGAAGACCATGTGAGCAAATTACTCGAAGAGGGGAATGTCAAGAGTACTCGGATACCTAGACGTGCATGTATGAAGAAGTTAATGAACCTGAACGAAGCGAAAGAGGTATGTAAGGATCGTGACATTTGGCGATCTGTTTTCTCTGGCTACCCCGTTAGGGATTGTGCGTGGAGATAAGTATATCGAACTAGGTGCGGTAAACATACAACCATACCCCGTATGGCACCAGAAAGAGAAGTTAATTTTGTTTTAATTTTAGGAATATGTGGTTTCCATGTTAAGTGCGAGTCTAATATCAGTCCAAGACCTTATTGAACGTCGCAAAACATATCTGTCCTGGAAAGCACAGGCAAGAAACCCATACTTAAAAAAAGAACAGTTTATAGTCTAATATTATGTTACACAATTAAAGAAAAATATATTTTAAAAGTATGAAATTACAGCCTATATATTACGTCCCATTCCTGGGCACATATGCCCACTCACTGGCAAGGTAGTGTCCATCGCGCTGCCCCAATGTGTGTTGGCGAACTTCACATGTCTTCTTCCTAACATATGCAGGTTTCCGCACGATATTTTTTCCCTCACCGCTTAGCTCGGAACAATTTTATTGATGCCGGTGGGGAACGAATCTGGGTAGCGCACACTGTGAAATTTACAGCAACCGCTTAACCTCTGAGCTACTACGGACTTTAAATTAATTCTTATCATTCTTTTCTTCTTTTTAAACAGAAATTTAAATAATTTTATTAATGTAACTGTGTGTAGGGGATTAATTAGAACCATATATTTATACTCGTTCCTTAAGGACACAAATTATCTAATTCATGTTTGCATTTAGGTTAGCTATTCATCCGTGTCTGTAGTCAAATCCGCAAAATAAATTCCTTTGTCAATTCGTTACGTAATTGTAGAATTATCTTCGTTTAAATAAATCCATAGAAATTTTCAACAAGCGGAACTAAGTGCCGCTCCGCACTGATACAATGGCACGGTAATTTTATCTATAAATATTACCGTGACAATGGCGTGGTTTGACTGCAACACAACACCCACATCGTGAATGAGTATTATCTGTCTCAGATCTGCCATTTGATAGGCGCTTGCTCATCTCACGAGTCTATTTTGCGAGCCCGATACACGTCCGGTTCTTTATGTCATCCTCCATTTGTAGGGCAACATTGTGTATGAGCTGTTTGGGATAAGTCCTAAACTGTCTAATAATACCATTTTTGTTTTAAAACTTTAAAGATAGTGGCATTTTTTTATAAAATTTTATCAGATGGTTATATCACAAAGTTAAGCCAGAAAATACATGAAACAAGATCAAAAGAGAAATGTATAATATAAACTCACATTATATACATCGTGCAAAATGCAATTAAATATTTTTAGGCAGTTAACATAAAATTACCTTGAAAATTCAAATGTCTAGTGATAGAATTGGTTGACTATTTATTTTTAAAATGGACGAAATTATTAAGGAGTAAGCGAACACAATAACTATATTTTTAAACAGGCTTAAACTTATTAATTAATAGTTATTAAAGTAAAATAAATTTTTATTTATCGGATTCATATCAAAATAATTGTTATTGAAATACTATACTTCTAACAAATGTAAATATAACCTTTGATTATAATATCAGAAAAATGTCGGTAAATAAATTTCTAAACTACTACTATTAATGCTTCGTGTACACAACATTACAGATGATCGACAATTTCTTTATATTTTCAAGAAATCCAATACTAATAACTATCTGTGTTAACGGAATCCTGATGCCGAATCCAACAATTGATTTCCGTTTCCTTTAGATAGATAACCACGCCACGCCCTTTGCGATTTTAAAAGTGCATTCACACAAAATATTATCATTATCTTGCAAAATTCTCAATCTGTAAGGATATAAGATATAACCTTACTTCACTTTATATTTTATTTCAATTATGAGTCATATAATTCAAACTGTGAAGGTCTGACTTTAGTTATTTTCGTTATAAAATACCACAAGGATTATTTTTGGTGACTACATCTTACTACAGAGTTATGTAATATTATTTTAAAAAAATATGAAAATATTTTCGTTCAAAAATAAATTAATTGATAAAAACATTTTTTACGAAACAAACCAACTCCCTGGTGCATATGACCCTTGAAAAGAAACAAACACAGTATATAAAAAAGGACACGACGAAAGAACAGTGCTACTTGAGGGTATCAATAAAAATCACAGTTTACTGCACTGTTTGACGTTTGCTGTTATAGGCTACAATTTTCAGGCGTTATTTATTACACAGTCTACACGTCCTTTTTTCAAACATCGTTTGAACTAAGTGGTTACCCTTAGTTAAACAAGTGGTCCATTCAAATCTTAAGAACGAAATCAAGTGCTTAAAATAATTAGAGATGAAAAACTGACCTCCCAAGCGTATCTTCTGTCTAGGGGCTGCGTCTCCCATTTTCCATTGAATGGTCCGTACTTAGTTCCATTAGCTATATTGACTCTCGCGAATATACCACCCGCTTTCAACACTAGCTCACTGGGTAAATTAAGTTCGGAGCTAACATCAAGTTCGCCATCTTCTTTAGAATCTTCGTCTCTCTCATCAGGACTTTTTCCGGGATCAAGAAACCTTTGATTAGGTAAATCTAAGGGTCTTGATAGATAACTTCGTTCGTATTCTGCATAATTCGGCGGAAGATAAGTATCAGTTATGCCAAAGTCTAAAGATCCATAGTATTCCTTTATATCAGTGTCTGGTGCCATTGTCTCCTGTTTGATGTGAACTAGGGTGGGCGCAGGTTCTGATGCGGCGGAGTCGGTGGGGCTCGGCGGTGGACTGCCAGATTCCTGGCTGTCGGCTGCTGTTGACAAAATAAAAAAAAGGTTAAAAATTTATAAATAAATATATGCATTCGCATAGCCGCATGTCAACATTTTACCTATTTCCATAATTGTGTAAAAAATTTAATGAATTTTACGATTATAGTTTTTAAATAATTAAATTTGGGGGCTTTATTAAGATTGACCTTAACTATGAATTATATAAAATAATAAATGATAATAATACGTAGTAAATTTTATACTCTAGCTTTTTTAACCAAATTAAAATAAAGTGCATCGGAGTCTTATATATCGACCAAGACATGTGAACCTGTCTGTTTTATTTTTCATACAAAAATAAAATGATGGAATGCAAGATGGTGCTCGCATTATGTCTGATTTCCGCTCGTCACAAAGCGTTTCCGCTTGTCTCTTGGCACAGATAGCATCCCTCCGAAATGCAAATCCAGTGTGAGCTATCTGAATCGAGTAGTTCCTTTGGATAATTATTTAATGTGGAATTTTGCATTTGTTCACATTGCAAAAACAACAGTTCACCATGCAATGCTAACACTAAGTTATAATTGACTCTTAGAAATTGACTATGAAATAAGTAACTTGAGGGCCTTATTTCAAAACATACTATTTCAATATACTGCTTTTTAATAACAAAGTAACTTAAAAAAATCTTAGCTATTGTTAGGATTTTTTGTACTAATGTATTAAAAAAATCTGTAAAATTAATATAAAATTATAAAATTCTAATAAAAAAAGTTAAACTGTTTACAGTACTACTTAAATTTCTTTTTTTTAATTTGGACCATTTACAAAAGAAACAAATTGCCTCACTTAAATTTAAATGGTAGAGAACAAATTCATTTTAGACTTCGCAGCATGCGCGTGTCATCAATAAAGTGCATCCCCAAGCAAACACAAGTGAGAGAGACACTCCATAAATCATAACCCACCCTATTACTACTAATATACTTGTTAAAACAACCCCTATCTTGTCCATGCGTCTTCCGCACGTGGCGGTAAAAAAACGCTATAAAATTAGACGCTTGATCAACGTCTAATACAATATGAGTTAAGAAATGATAACTGCTTAACATTACAAAGGTGCAGTTCTCATTCACAATGCGCAGGATGTGCGGGAACGTGTCTAAAGGATCCCTTTTTGTGGATCCAGTTTGGTAAGAACTGCGCTCTTTTAAGCTTTCGGTTGCTATGCCAGTTCACCTGTCACTGTCTAGTTTTTAAACACCGCTTATTAATACTCTCTTCGTATAAACGAAACTTAATAGTAAAATAATTATGCAAAATATTCATAAGTGTACCTAAATTTTGTACTTTTCAAAAAATTTTTTATAGGATAGGGTGACAAACGAGCACACAGTCCATCTGATGGTAAGTGGTTGCTGTGGCCCATAGACATCTACATCTATCCCCGATTACGAATCAAAATGCAGATGCGTGGTTACCCGTGAGGACTAAGATGGAATGCCTCGTTTCAAGTAAAGAGGGTCTCCGGTTCTCTACATTCACCATACGAAACACAGCAGCATTAAGCTACTATTTTACGCTGGTATTCTGTGAGAGCGTGGTCCTTTCCTGGTCGAGCTGGAGCATGGCTATTCATGGCTTACCTATCTTACAAATTTCAGAAAGTATAATATTTTATAAAATTGAATTTTTCTTGTCATAATAAATTGACATATTATGTAAATGCCATAATGTTGTGATTTGAAACAGTTGTTTACTTTTTTAAACAAATAAAGGTGTAAAGTGAGCATACAGTTCGCCCGATAGCGTGGATAGGCCCCTGGATACTGCGTCCGTCGTTAAAGGAGCGTGGATAGGCCCTGTGTTTTATATATATAAGTTCTGGATTGTTTTCGGAGGTATAATACATTCCGTGGATAGCTTATTTGATAGGTGGAGGCCCCTGGATATCGTCCGTCGTCTACATATATAATACAGTTCGCCCGATAGCGTGGATAGGCCCCTGGATACTGCGTCCGTCGTCTACATATATAAGACATCGATTATCGATTAAGAATCAAAATGCAGATGCGTAGACACCTATGAGGACTAAGATGGAATGCCGTCTCCTGTTCTCGACACTCACCATACGAAACAGCAGCATTACACTGTTACTTTACACTGGTATTCTGTAAAAGTGGTAATTCTGTGCAAGTAATACTGTGTAAGTTGTGGCCCCTTCACATTCGAGCTGACCTATTTTTAATGCAGCCATAACATTCTACCATGTAAACACAACGTTCATTATAGTCTACGTAAAGTCCACTGGTGACACACCGAGTCCCTCATGGGTAACGTGACCATTTATTTTTTTGATTCAAAACGGGACATGGTTTATTTAGGTCAAATAACAGAGAGGCAATAAAATTTTTATATTTCTAATTTATTTTATTTTTAATTTATATTATTTAAAATTTATATTTTAAATTTATATTTCTCTCAGGAACAAATTTGCTTTAATATAGCTGGTGGTGATATTAAGTAAGAATGAAACTCTTGGCACCTTTTTTATATTCACTTAAATTATCAACATCACGTTTAGAACTGAAATTTGAAATTCGTCAAAAACTTCTGCATCTTTATTACAGTCAATATATTCCTTTTCAATTAATACATCCAGAGATTTTTGAACGTTTTCCCATGCGGAACTTTTTTTAAATCTGCCCAATAAAATATCTCCATTTATTTGGTAAGAAAACAAGTCCATTGCTCCAGATATTTACGGCTTGTTTCATAAAATTCTGTACCCGCCCTTTTCACCAATTCCTCATCTATGTCAGTAACATTATGTTTCGATTTCACTTTTAATTGACGGACCGTAAATGAAAGAAAGTGATTGGTCTGTTTCTGAGTTAAATTGTCTTTTAGTTGATTAATTTTTTTGCAGCTTCAATAGGCCGATACGGTCTGAACTTCAAGGTACAATACAGCTTGTTAAAAACTTGCTGACTTAGCGTGTAAATAATAAAGCCATGATTCGGATGTGGGATCTTAAAAAAGGATTTTGGTAACAAAAACACAAATTTTCACGCGGCTTCAGAAAACGGGACAATTTTGCGTCCCAGTTTTCATTTCGGGGACACCGGGACTCGTAACTATAAAAAATGACAGTCCCGTTCAAAACAGGACATCTGGTCACGTTACTCATGGGGGAAGATTTACAAATTTTTTTTCTCTCTTTATAGAAAACATTACCCCCCCCCCCCCCACTAGGATTTTCTCCTGTATCGTGAAAGCAATTTACATACATAAATTTTACAAGGACAAACATCCAGACCCGGAACAGTTTGTAGGCCATAGGCACCAATAATAGTTCCGTGTGTGATTCTAACTCGCAACCCTCAACGCTGCAACTCATTTCTAAGCCACATTATTTTTTCCTACATTTTAAAACTATTATTTCAGAGAAAGGTATCGTGCAGTCCGGCACGCTAATCCTGTGCGTGTTAGACTTCACATGTTATCGACATATTCCGTAAATATATTTTCGACGCTACAGCTATATTATAGTTGTAGCACGAATGGATCGGCTCGACCGGGGAAGGATCACGCTCTCACAGAATACCAGCGTAAAATAACAGCTTAATATTTCTGTGTTTCGTATGGTGAGTGTAGAGAACCGGAGACCCTTTTTACTGAAAATGAGGCATTCCATCTTAGTCCTCACGGGTGATAACGCATCTGCATTTTGATTCGTAATCGAGGATAGATATAGGTGTCTATAGGCCAGAGCAACCACTTACCTTCAGGTGTACTGTGTGCCCGTTTGTCACCCTATCCTATTAAAAAAATGCTAAAAGTAATAACATAATTTTACGTTAGAGCTTAATAATAAAATATGACATAATATGATCTATAATCTATCACACACTGTATATACTCGTAGACTAAGCTATAATATATTTTACAATTTAACCCCGCAGTAATGACAGTCATACGTAGACTGCACCAAAATAAACTATATGTTGGTAAAATGCTTCAAAACTTTTATTAAATTTATAACCGATTGCTTTGGATGAAAAAATATATAAATTGTTCACATATTATTTATAAACCAATGTGTCTGGCTGCTACGGTAAAACGAGGTGTCGTAAAATCCACGTTCGAATTTCAAATTCAAATTAGTGATGGCAGGGTCCATTCGGTCCGCATACTGCGTGAGCGGACAATGCGGACGAGTCGTCGTTAAATCTCCGGTTTCCGCAGAAACAGACTTAAAATAAGAACAGGGCCTGGACTAAGAAGTGTACGAGTATAGAGAGACAGAAAAAAACACAGTCGTTCCTATTTAACAATTAAATAAAAATAAATAAATTAAATTGAACTTAAGTTCAGAAACATAGCTCATTCTTCCATTGCGATTAAATACAATATGAAATTTTTAATGAAAATTCTAACGTTTAAGATTCCATATAGTGTATGCCGCTTACAATTTTTTTTTCTAGAACGTTAAAACTAGAATTTTCTCCTTTAGGCATTTTACACACATACATTTTTCAAAAAAAATATCCAGACCCGGAATAAGGGGCCATACAAATAATTTTTCTGTACGGGATTCGAACACGCGGCTCTTTCAGCACCGCAACTCATTGCTAAGCCACTGCGCCACAGAGCCAGACGCATGAACAAAAACTATTAATATTAAATGTTATTAATAGATATACGTGGTAGAACCACGCTCTCACAGAATAACAGCGTAAAATAGGAGCTTAATGCTGCTGTATTTTGTATGGTGGGTGTAGAGAATCGGAGATCCTTTTTACTGGAAAAGAGGCATTCCATCTTAGTTCTCACGGGTGACAACGCCTCTGAATTTTAATTCGTAATCGAGGATAGATGTAGATATCTATGGGCCACAGCAACCACTTACCATCAGGTGGACTGTAAGCTCGTTTGTCACCCTATACTATAAAAAAAAGATATATATTTCGCGGTAACGTGTTTAAAACACACCATGAAGTGATATTAAGTGAAAACTGTTAATGTAATGTTTCAATTCTTTTGAAGTCTATTAATAAAGTTTTAAGCAATCGCGAAGAATCTTTATATCAGCCCTACAACATGCTGATTTCACGAGTTAGCTACGG